TCCAGATGCCCTGGAGTCAAAGGGGTGCCAAGCAGGTCCTCTCTTAGCCTAGACTCCTGGTCTCTGCTCCTTAGATTTGGGCCACAAACTAGGAGAAGAGCAGGAGGCTTTTCAGGAAACAATCTAAGGTAAGAAGGGAGTATCAGGTAGAAACAAAGAGAGAGATGCCTTGCTTGTCATGATTCTAGTTTGAAATACGGCACTCAGGATAGAAAACTGACATAACAACGTTAACAAAATAATGTGGTAGAAAGTGCTAGAAAAAGGTCTAAAGTTGCTGTGGTATGCCTCTGCAACCAAGCCAGCTCACATTGGCTGAAAGTTGATTGTGTGCATCTCTTCCCAACTCTATGTTCAGTTACTTCACATTGGTTTCTTGAAATCTCCATAAGGAGAGTGTTTACAGAAATCAGCAAATGTTAGAAGTCAGGGTTTTTTTTTCCTTTCTTTCAGTTTTCTGGGTGCTAAGCTAGCACACTGCTATAAGAGAGGACCCTCTGAAAATGAGAGGAAGAGTAGAGAAGGGACAAAGTTTGGTGGTGCCTAAGATAGAACTCTAAGGGAAAAGATCTGAGGCCCAGAGAAGGCACCACTCATTAATACTAGGTTTAATTTCTTGAGTGTTGACAGTTGTTCAAAATCCGAAGGGTTGGATTACTCGACCTATCTTTTCGATGAGGAAACCAAGTCTTAGAGGGATGTGTAACTTGCCCAAAGCTAGTGGATGGACTTGGGCGTGAACCCCAGGACTGTCAGACTCCAAATATTCACACTGTCTCTAAAACATACCATAAAGAGGAGTCTTTTTATGGTCAACAAATATTTGCGAAGTAGGAATCATTTCTTTACTGCCCGTTTCTACTAGTGTTTAACTTCCATGTAGACAGGGACTTTGTCTTTTAACTGCTTTACCCTTAGCACCAAGAATAGTGCCTAGCCCCTAATAGGTACTCAATAAATATTTGTTTTTTAATAAATGAATGAACTAGTGAACTACTGTGTGGTGGGCTCTCTGCCAGGCATTGAGACAGGGTATTAATTGTGGGGAGAACTTAAGGAGAAAATTTCAGGACATATGAAGATCCAGCAGCACAAAGCTTAGAAGAGAATTTCACTGGTTCATGGCTGCCTCTGGACTCAGTATGCTTTAGGGAGGTTCTGAGGCATCAGAATTGGTTGTCTCCCCCATATCTCCATCCCAGTGATGAGAAACCGTGGCTCTGCCTGGCAGCACCTGTGTGTTTGTTTCGAGTTATATTGTACGTAATTTTGCATAAAGCTGAACCTGTTCTCAAAGGGATTATCATGGAACAGAGATAAATGCCACAGGCAGTGATTCTCCTTCCAACCACTTCTTCAGCTTCCAGTAGTTTATTCTGAACATGTGAGGAACACAGACAAGGTAGGGTTTAGAGGGAAAGGGACAGACAAGGAACGAGAGACCTTCGACACCACTGTTAATGCCACAAGCCCCTCCCTCCCTATTCTGGACTCTGGAGCATGCTGGGAAGGTTTGTTCCATAAAGATAGAAGACAGCCGCTGACTCTGACCACTCTGGAGTCCACTGAGGGCTGGTGGAGGGTCAAAGCTCAGTGAAAGATAGTGCCTTCCAGAGAAAAGGGGCAGGCTCCAGGCTTGCCTTGGGCAGAATCCTATCCAGAACTGCAAATCTGGAGTAAGCAGCACACCAAACTCTTTCTCAGCTCTAGGAAGTCAGTCTGTTAGAACTGTTTCTCTACACGCCTCCTTCTGACTAGGCCCACCCCTGAGCATCAACTTTGAAAGTGGTCTGAAAAAGGAAAAGGAACCTGACACAGGCAATTCTGCCTCTTTCGAGCATGTCATGAAACATCTAGCAAGGAAAGCAAAAATGAGTCAACACTCAATTACCTGTGAGTTTTCTACTCCATGGATTACCTTGGAGCAAATGTTTAACCTCAGACCAGCTTTTACTGCCCTCCAGGTTGCTTTTTTTCACTGTATAGATTTATGTTTAGGAAATGCAAATGTTTTTAAATGTAAATGTGAGAAAAAACAGACATATATGTACACATACACATTTACTCACATACCTTCTCTCTCCAGCAAGCGGACCATATTCCCAATTTTTTCTAGGTATTAGGAATCTCAGTTTCCTGCCTAGAGAATTGCAATGCCCAATAGACTGGGTCTAGCAGATGAAGTGTAAATAGCCTTGTTTGCTGAAAGTATGAGGAAGTCATGCTTAAAGAAGTGCTATTTGAGCCTGTGGGTAAAGGGTAGGAACAATGTGTCCATTTCTGTACCTGAAGAAGTGACTGAGTCCCGGTGAAAAACTCTACCATCAGCATCTCTCTCCTGACCACCACTCAGCATACAAGCACACATCCCACTTTCCCAGTAAAATACCTGCAGGGGTTGAGAGTTTAAGTAAATATGGTCCTCAGGCATACCATATTTACTTGCTACCAGAAAAAAAAAAAAAAAAGTTTATCATCTAAGAAGTTAATGTCACTATTTCTTTCCTTCTACTAGTACACATAATAGTGTTGACTTATTTTGTGATTTGATAATATCACCCAAGATGACCATGTTGTCTTAGCTCCCTAAAGAAGTTTCAGACCCCTACCAACTCTGTTCTCCTGATTTCCCTGGTGGGAGGCCTTTAAAAAAAACCTCATTTGACCTTTATGTTCCTCCCAGAAGACCAAAAAGGAGAAGCCAAGCAAGTTCAGTCTCTGAGGAAGCCTAAAGGAAAGACTGGGAGCCAAAACTTCCCTGACTTTCCTTTGTCCCTTGAAATCACTTCCCTTCCTGAGGCTCCTATTCTGTCTTATTCTATTGTCTTTGCTGAGGGACAGGGTAACCCATAAGGCTGCTAGCCAGAGTGGTTGGTAAAGATATTTATAGAGAGGTGAACTTTCTTCCTCTCCCTTTGGTTTCACGTTTCTCTGGGTCCTCTACCCTTGCCCAGGAAAGAGGAGGAGGGAAAAAACATCAGAGCTTAAGAGGGGCTGAGAAAATCAGCAATCTCAGACCATCCAGCCAACTTGCATTTGCATCATGGGCCAAATTTACACTCTTGGCTGGGATGTACTTGGCAAAGTTGGAGCAATACATTTGCGGGTTCCAGAAGGAAACCTGAGGGACCACATAGGAGGCCGCTATCGTTGAAGCCCCCAAGCCAACCATACACTCATGAATAAAGCAGGTCCTCGACTAACATCATTTCTTTCAACGTCATTTCATTATAACATTGGTGAGATCTTGTAGGAACTTAAGTCTTATTTATATCCATTAGACTATGGTAAAATTGTTTTCCTTATATGTTTTTTTTCCCTTAAAGTTGCAGAACTTATTTTTGACGGAGTTAAGTAAGGACATACTATAATTTCAATGATTTCACCTGAGAATCCATCATACAGGTGGCTCTGGATTAGACTTGGGGTGGGAATGGGAGTGGTCTGGCAAAAGGCCTTGTAGAGCAAAAAAAGGGTTTGGGGGAGAAAGGTAGACTGCTTCTCGGGAGGAAAAAGCCACTCTAGGAAGAGAAGGATGCATGTAGCAACCCATTGAGTTGTCTGGTGGGGTGAGTTTAATTAGGGAGAGCTAATCCTGGCAGGGATTGAAAGGAGAGGGGAATTATTAGGCCATCCATTCTCTCAAAATGTTAAGTAAATAAACACATCTAACCAGGGACAGAGGGGCTTAGAGAGCTAAGTATAGTATGCAAAGGAATCTCTGGGGCTGGGTCCTCAAACACATCTATCTCCACAGTGGATATTTAACTTGACAGCAAGTGACATGGAAACTTGGATGGAGAAAAATGGGTGATGGGGGGAGGGGAGCACCACAGGAAAATAGCTCAAGTTTACTCAGCTCTTTGGCACCTGCTGCTTATCCCTAAGAAGCCAAGGCCCTGGGACATCAGGGATTCCCCTGCAGCCCAGGGAAGTTGGGTGACCTCCCTGAGAAAACAGAAGTTGGGGAGAGAAGCAACAGCAGAGTTAATGGTTGCCACAGGGTATCTTCTGGGGCAGCCAGAGATTATATTTTGAAAAAAGAAAACATTCAACCTGTCCAGCAGATACTTATCCCCTGCTCTCCTTCTGGCATTTTTAATCTCTCCTGTTAAAGCCTCCTCATTCTCCTTGGCCTTCAAACCTGCACGCATCTTCCCTATTTTAGAAAAACATACACATACACATAAAGATCAAAACAATCTTCAACTCTCATGCCCTCTCTAGCCCTTTTCATTTTTTTTTTTTTTTATCTCCTTACTAGTAAACTTTTCTAAAGAAAAACTGGCCTTTTCCTGCTGCTTTCATTTCTTAATCATCCATCTCTCCTTGGAAGCCACTGGCCATATTCATCACCAAGTCTGGTTTCCTAAGACACCAAGTAGGCTGTCTTTATTTCAGGCTTTACCCAGCTTCATTCTGCCTAAACCCACCACAGTCCTCTTCCGTGGACACAACTTTTATTATGTCTTTCTTTACTCAAGAATCTGTAATGATTCTCTACTGCCTCCTGAGTCATAGCTAAACTTTCAAGAGCCTTTATCTTATGTCTTTCACTCTATCTACTCCTTTTTAGCAGTTTTCTATTGTTCTTGACTAACTTATTTACGGCTCTATCCAGCTAGAATCTAACTGCTAGATTATAAGCATCTGGAGGGCAGAGGCCAAATCTTTCATGATTTTGAAATGACTCAATACTATATACAAGCTAAATCATATCAAGATGCCCTTAGGTAATATGACCTCAAAGATAAAAATTGTTGGACACTTATGTGACAACCCTTCTTTCACCTGAGGGAAAAAGATAGGCTTAAGAAAGTCACTTGGAGAGTATAGCACTGCAAGTTGCAGGTACATTCCATCTTAGGATACAATGTACACGAGTGACAAGGAGGAGGAATGAAAGTATGAAATGTTCTGCAAAATCTTTGTCTCACTCCATCATGAGAGATTTTACATGCTTGCTACTCGTCAAAATTACTGTTTGAACACTGCTTTTCAAACCTGGCCAATTATTAGGATTATCTGCAGAGGCTTTTAAAATGCTGGTGCCTGGACACCCCTTCTAGATGTTGTAATTTAAATTGGTTTGGTGTGGGGTACCAGGCATTAACGTTTGTAGAGTCCTCTAGGTGATTCTAATGTAGAACCAGGTTAAAGAGTCATTGATTTAGAAATGTGGATGTGTGTTACATGTTGGGAGTGATGGAGTGTTTAGAGAGCCTTCCTAATGGAGTGACCAGGGTGCACCTCATTCCAAATTCCTCTCCCCCAGATAAACCTTTCTGGATTCTTTGTTTTTTTGTCACCTAGGCAAGGCCTGTTCTAAAAGTAAGAGCGAATGTGTGTCTGAGGAGCTCTTGGAGAGCTACCTACTCCAGGCTGGTCCTAAAAACAACTTACTATTCTTTCTTCTTCCCTGTCCCCTTGTCTCCTTGACCCACAGGGAGCGGCTACCTGTCAACTACTTTAAGTTTCAGTTCCGGAATGTAGAGTACAGTTCTGGGCGAAACAAGACCTTCCTCTGCTATGTGATCGAAGTGCAGGACAAGGGAGGCCAAGTGCAGGCATCCCGGGGATACCTGGAGGATGAGCATGCTACTGCCCATGCAGAGGAAGCCTTCTTCAACACCATTGTGCCAACATTCGACCCAGCACTGCGGTACAACGTCACCTGGTACGTGTCCTCTAGTCCCTGTGTGGCTTGCGCTGACCGCATCATCAAAACCCTCGGCAAGACCAAGAACCTGCGCCTACTCATTCTGGTGGGGCGCCTCTTCATGTGGGAGGAGCCCGAGATCCAGGCTGCTCTGAGGAAGCTGAAGGAGGCTGGCTGCAGACTGCGCATCATGAAGTCCCAGGACTTCGAGTACATCTGGAAGAATTTTGTGGAGCAAGAAGAGGGCGAATCCAAGGCCTTTGAGCCCTGGGAGGACATTCAGGAGAACTTCCTGTATTATGAGGAGAAGTTGGCAGACATCCTGAAGTAGGCCACTAGGCTCAGCCTCACGTGAGTTACGGCACTATCACTCTATTAACTGTCAACTTGGGTAGAAAGCTTGAGGTCAGGTGGATCAAGTGGTATGTTTGATTTTTCTTTAGAAGAATTTCATTTCCCTGCTTTTGGTTGGTTGCAAAAACATTTTAGAAGATCCCGTCTTTTTTTCCTCTAATTCCTCTCCCTAAATCCTTTTCCCACCTACCCTTTTATATGAAACTAACTTCCCCCATAACATGGAATACTTAAGATTGACAGGAATCTGAAAGATTTAATGAGACAGAATGATTCTGTATTAAGATTTAGATGGTACAAGGGTTTGCTACTGAACAACAGCCTAGAAAACATTTCAATCCCCTAATCATGCCCCCATGTACACATGTCCAGAATTACTAATTCTGGACACCTTGTAGATGCCCCGCTCTCACTCCCATTTGCAATCCTACCATTCCATCTTTCTCTAAAGCAGGTGTTTCATTCCATCAGGGGCAATTTTTTTTTTCATTTTTGGTACTTCCGAAATTCCCCAAGCGGGTTTGTATTCAACTATTTTTGGCCAGAGAAATTTTATGTTTTCAAAATGGTTCTGCTTTGAGGGAGACAAGTAATTACTATATGAATGTATAATGCAAGGTTTTTCTTATGCTGAGAAGACCTCAGCATAAGTCATAGAAAAATGCTGAATGCAGGAATGGGGATAATAGAACAAGTTCTTCCATGCGGGAATGTTTAAAGGGTTAAAAAAGCTGTTTGTAAATTAGGCAGCAGCTCAAAAATAACTTCCTACAGGTATCAAGATGTGATGAGAGCTGGAAGTAAAAATTAGCCGTTTAAGCAAATAATTAGGACAAAATTAAGGCCAATTTGGCTTCTTGCTGAGGGTAAATTAAGACTTACAGAAACAGGCCGATTACTCCCAGGATAGAGAGTAAAGGATCCTTTACTATCTTTTTTTGAATTTGGTCTGGTCTAGTTTGCTGCCACAGCAATGCTATGACTAAGTCTTTTTAAATAAGTTAAAAGACTGAGTTACTCATCAGTCTTCCAGTAACAGAGAAAGGGTCTTCACCTTTTACACAACTTTAATTCTTAAACAACTCATATTACTAAAACACAAAAGCAGCATGCTTCCATGAAGATATTCATTTGTGGTCTCTCATTCTTAATACTCTTAAGGTGTCACTTCATAGACGTGTTTTGAAACTATCAGTTCTGGAGCTTGATGTTGGCAGGTATTTGATATCAGATATGCACTCAGGGTGCCTGATAATTCTCCAGCTGAGTAATCCTCAGTCCACAAAGACACAATTTTCAGCCATTTCTTACAAGAAGCAGGACCCATTCACTGAATTCAGTGAGATCATTATGGTCAGGTAATGTCATGTGGTACTCTGCTCATGTAAAACACTGAGTGGTGGTGAGTGGTAATAAACAGACCTAAGAGTGACCTCTGAAGATACAAAATTAACTTTTAAATTCCTTGATTTTAATTTTATTTGGGTAAGTACTACCACTATAATTATAAATCCTACTCAGATTCTACAGAATGACTGGTAACTTAATTTTAATCCTAGTTTACTTTCTTCTTAAACATCTTTCGGAGTCACTGGCCACTTCTTCCAGCTTTCCTTTCTTCTTAAACATCTTTCGGAGTCACTGGCCACTTCTTCCAGCTTTCCAGCTGCCTAACTAGCAAGTCCTTGCGGGGGGTGGGTGTGTGTGTGTGTGTGTGTGTGTGTGTGTGTGGTTTTTTTCCCCATTAAGTCAAATATTTAGATAACTAAATCTGCTATAAAAATTAAGCACTTCAAGGAGGATTAAAAAGAGCTTTTAATTTTGGATAATTGAGGGTTGTATCTTACGGTAATCTAACATAAGTAAAACAGATAAATCAGTTTGAGGGAAAAGTCCATTTCTAAGTCGAATTATTCTTAATAAAATATTATTAGATATGTTCCTCGTTATAAGCCTCCAGTAATGTACATAACTGTACTATCCGGACACATTAACATGCTTCCCTGTATTCAAGTTGCTCATGTTCCTAAAGGAAAAGGTTAAAATGTGCCAAGTTAAAAAAAGATGGCATGAAAGAGTTGTAATCTAAAAGCACAAAAGATCTGCTTAATTAAAATACTCCCCCAAAATGGGCATCTGTTAAAGAAAATTTGCCTATTTCTTTCTCAAACTTAAAAAGAAAAAATGACAGAATAAGATTTAATAATATATTCAACTTGAGAACAGAGTTAAAGCAGATCTCTTCCAGGGCTTTCTCCGTGAACCACACGAAAACATGAATGAAACAAATCCAATCCTGGCTAAACCAGGAATCACAGCAGATTATGGAAGAGAAATTCAGAGACTTAAGAAGGGCACACGGAAACCCTAGTTTGAAAAGAAAACTCTTCATTGTTTGGGCCAGCAGGGCTCTCAGTAACATGCTTTCCGTTTTCTCACCAAGGTCTGCCTGCTGCTACCGAGACAGCAGTGACACGTATGGCCATCTGGGACATGCCTGACTTCCTAATACCACTTGGAGCTGGACAACATTCGACACCAACCAATCCCACTGAAAAAAGGCCCTCTGAGGACTCAAAATACACTTCTTATGCTGTAAATCATTTTAGCTGTGCCTCTCTCTCTAAAGCTGTCCTTGGGAAAGAGGGGAGTTGCAAGAAGACACAGTAATCATCATGGATGCAAAGCATCTGTGGGGCTGAGGGTCCTATTCCCCCAAATGGTCCACTTAAGGCAAAGAGCCTCAGACCCAAGATCTGCCCAAATCTTTGAAATGTGTCTAGAAATGCATTTTATGTTAAATTGGTTAAAAAAAAAACAAACCCAGCAACATTAATAAAAGAAGTGGTATGGTTTTTCTGTGACCAGATTTAAGGAACTTGGACGTTTCATAGAAGTTGCTATGGAGAGCAATCAAGTCTCAGGAATAGGGATGTCCCAAGCTATGAACCAAGCCATGAGATTATAAAGTGGGAGGAAGGCTTTAACCAGGACTTGTGTATGAAACACAGGATACTAACTCTCTCATATAGACTTCTCACATTGGTCTTGACTTTCATAAAATATTTTCTTCTGAGATTACTTGTGCCTTTTCCCTTCTCTGAAGACAAAGAATATGGCAGAGGGTGAAATAAAAAGCACAAGAAATGTGTTGATATCTATATCCCAAAGGCCAATTAATAAGCAATTAGCCTCTTAATTAAAGAGAAGGTGAGGTAGGATTTCAGTGTTCAGATACACATAATGTAAGAGTAGTCAACATGTGGTACTTGATGGTGAAGGCAGGATAATGTCAAAGTCTTATTTCTTAAAAGGTTTGAGGCCTACGTAGAAGTAAAACTTCACATGTGAATTTCTGGGTGTTTGTCAAACTCTAACTAGGTTTCCAGGAATAACGTGTTCATTCTGATTATCAGGCAATACCTCCTTTCCCCAGGCTTTGAGTGTGATAAGTCATCGGAATTTGACCCGAAGACTATCTGCAAATGACAAAGCACTTTATCACATCTCTGCTGAGTCCCAGAATTCCACTTATATCCAGTCTTCAGCGAGACCAAGCTGTTAAAAGAATGAAGGTTCATACTCCATGAAAAAAATTCACCCTAATCCTTTCAACATAGAAGCCTGCAAAACCAATGTTTTAACCCAAGTCTTAAAGATTTATTTGCAGTTAGCAAAATACTTTAACTTTCCTCTTATCACCCCACTCTCATTTTCAGTTTTGTGTATTTAAACATTTTTTCTCATCACTTTCCCCCTTTCAATTTTTTACTATCTGCATGTGGACAGAAGCGAAGTTTCAAGAAAAGCTTCAGTCTAAAAGTCTGATAATGAACTTGTTCCTACACTACTCCATCCCAACAACATGGAGAACCTATATGTTCCACACAGAGATACAAAAGAAGTGAAATACTTTTCAAACTGCTGCCTCGTATCAGGCTGCAATGTGATAAGAACACAAGTCTAAAGTACAAAGATTACATTTAACCAGTTTTTTTCCTGGTACTTCAACAAGCCCATTCTAAAATCTAGTTCTTTTATGCTTGGGAAAGCAGCAAGTCCTGTGAAGACCCAGAATTCACTCTAGGGAGAAAATCAGTAATAGATCTATTTTAACTCCTAACGCTGCAGTTAAGGAGGGAAAAAAGGAAAACGCTACTAGTTTTCCCAATACCACCAATACTAACCCCACAGGCTAAATAAACCCTCTTCTCCCACCACAAAAATAAGAGTAAACAAATTGCTGCTCTCTTAACTCAAGAAGAAAGGGGACTAATATTTATTGTTCTTGATCCCAGTTGGTTATGCCTCAGAATCCTCTGGAGCTCAACAATGCAAAGAAACCTGGCCAACCTCCCTAACCCCTACGACTAACAAAACACAATTTTTTTAGAAGTGGGTCTTTAGGATGCATACGAATTTTGTTGAGAACTGAGACATTACTCTACACTAAACACTCTGCTAGGCATTTAACATATATTATTTCATTTTTTTCATGATTGAATTTAGACAGGTTCAGTCACAGAAACTATGTAGTGTACAGAAGAATTCATCACGAGCAGATTTTTAAAAACCTGCCTTCCCGTCCATTCTCATTTCTTATTTCTCACCTTGTTGCTTTTCCCACTGGATTCCCCTCTCTGAGTTTTCCAAATTAAGCTGCAGGTGAATCCTGTTATCCAAGTCTAGAACAATGCAGGCATGTACAGAGAACCCCACTGGAGCCCAAGAAAAAGATATTTATTTTCTCGTTTTTGTCACAAATTCCTTGTTAACAATGTAAAAAACCATTTTTGTAGTTTAAACAAACAAAAAAAACCCTCAAAATTCTCTATGATGAATTTCATGACATAGGGATAATACCAAGTAAATGCACAAATAATAACAGATGCAAAATTAAAATGGTCATCCTTCCTGAAATTTCTCTTAAACAGCAGAGAAGTAGAATCAATGCTGCCACATAGTGGCAAGCCAAACAAATCAGGTAACATCCTGGAACAAAACAGGGATCATCTGTTTCCCTATCTAGTATCAGGCTATCTATTACCTACCTTCCTGGGAAAAAAAAAAAATCACAGCAACATTTCCCAAGCAATTCCTCTTTCAGAGTCCCAGCCCGATTATGAGACGACAGAAACCAAGCCTGGCCTATGACATAGACTACTGCACATGAAACTTTCTTTTGACAATTTTAAGGTCAGTTTGCCCAGTCCTATGGCCCAGTAGGGATGACAGAGGAAAACATGGGACACATCCAAAATGCTCATCTGTTCAGAGTGTGTACACAGTAATTCTGATGTCTGTTGCCTCAAATACCTCCTCAATCATTGCAGACACATTTTCCCATTGCAGACGATCAAGACCACACCCAATCCTGAAAAAGACAAAACATCTCCATTGGTTGTGATGAAAATATTTAAGAAATCATTCCTTCCCTCTTCCTTAGGCCACATTCATCCAGAGCCTAAGGACAAAGGGCAGCCAGGGCGGGAGTTTGAAAGTTAACTCTTGTTGAGTCACCCAAGGCTGTTCCTAGACAGCCCTAACATCCCACAGCTATCACTTCTCTTTTGTCTAATAAGGTTACCACTTGCCAATTATTTCAAGCTATATTTAGAAACATATAACTCTGCTGTGACATGGGAGACTCACCATCCTTCCATGTCTACTGATGAACATTTAGGTGTGGGTAGATGAGAAAAGTTTGGTATTTTTAAAATACACATATGATAATGGAAAGTTAAGGAAGATAAAAAGGAGAGACAAAGGACAGGATCTCTGCAAAAAAGAAGATGGAATGTTAAGAAATACCAAGCTGACTGCCAATTCAGGTTATTTGCAACACCCTGGTGAGAAACCTCAATCAGCCCAAAAAACTCTACTACTTAGCACCTTTCTTCTAAGATGTTACTTTATTGATCCTCAACATCCCTGTGGGCGGGGGGAGGGGGGAGAGAAGAGGCTTAAAATCGCTAATTTCATACAATGTAAGAAGTCCTTGAAAATGATTAAGTCTCTGAAAAAAGTTGTGATTAAAAAAGTTTCTGGTGCATAATTCATAAATATATTAAAGACCAATGTAAGACGAGGGACTCTGTAGCCACATAAGTTAACTTGAAGCTTGGAATAAACCTGCATGGATGACCAGCATTGACTCAAAAGCAGACAGGAAGAGAAGTGACTCCAAGCTTATTTCCTTAAAAGGAAGCAAAGGAGATACTGAACCCCAACATCATTCTTTAAGTTCCCAACAGGTAAGGTCTAAGACATTGCATTAGGGACATATCCTCTGGCTACGGCCCACAGTGACCACAAACAAGCATGCAGTTTAAAAGGTAGTAATGATTTACAACTTTCTTTGCACAGAATTAAAAGGTTTGTGAAGCCCAAAGTGACCCAGAGGGAAATCACAATAGCTTGGTCTTGGTTCTTAAGTTTATATTGCTTCAGGAATAGAGGTTAAGCTTCAGGTAGAGGACCTAGGAATTTAACAAATGTGACTGAATAATAACTCCTCTCTGCTACATAGGTTGAGGCAAGGGTGTGTTTTAAGTTAATTATCCTGATTCATTCAACCCAGGCTAAGAAATGGGGATGCCTTGGCCTAGAGTCTGACAACTGGTTCACTGGTGATTTTTTCAAGTTTTGAAATTTGTCCACCTTGAAGTCTGTATTTTGGATTAAGTTTTTAAGTCATTTGTCTTCGGTAAGACAGTAAACCCCATCAATCAAGTAAGCCTTCATTTAGGGCTCTGAATTTCCTTGCCTGGGCATGGAGAGGTTGGTGACTCCATTCTTCAGACAATGGGACTTCATGGCCTCTAAACTCTTCTGTAAATTTTCATAAGTTGGCTTGTGTGAAGCCCTTTTCTTTGTAATCTGAATACAAAGAAAGAATTCAAACTTTTTTTAGTCCAAAATTATAGCCAAAGAAAAGCCATCACATTTTCCCAACAAGCTATTAAAATAAATGTATTTTTATAGAATAGTCTAGAGCAGGGATGACAAATGTCAGTGTCCTTTCCACTTATGTGAAGCCCTCAGGAAAATCAACTGAAAAGGGGCTGAGAAACCCAGACATTGCCATGTAACAATCTTTGCTTTACTCAAGAAGCCCAGGAGGTTAACAGACTGTGCCTGTTGTGTATTGTTTTTAAGCAAGTAGGTGAAAATCTTTGTGCCACTTCCAAAAGATAAGCTGTCTGTAACTAGAAAGAACGCATACATACTACCTGAAAATTTCCTGTTAAGTCCACTTATTTAGAAACTGTGCTTGCTTGCTTTTTGTTTCTCTATAAAAGAAGAGTGAAACTTGTAGAGTCCCAAATATTGGAAGTCACATCAGTCTTACAGAATTCAAAGGGGCTAGGACGTGATCCCACTCAGTGTGCTGTCCCGATCAAGCTTATAGTGAATTGGCTGTAAGTCAACCAGCACCATCACTACAATTCCACACTTTCTGGGGACAAAAACTATTTAGACAGTGGAAGAACTCCACATTGAGGCAGCAGGTAGGAAAGCTGCTGAGTGTATTTGATAGGGAAGAATGAGAGAAAACCTCATTTGAGCAATCTGTCTCTTGAGACATTATTATTGTTTCTATCTCACCATGACTAGGAAGGAATTAAAAGTTTGGGTGGCATCCCTAATTTTTGCAAGTCTTAGAACACAGGCCTTTGGTTAATGTCACAGTATTCTTTCCCATGGAGCTAGGATGCAGCTTCATGTTCCTAACCTAGAGCTCCAGCCACCGCCACTAGATCTGAGTTGACATGAGATCAGCAGCTTTTTGACATCCTTGTCTAGAACACCATGATCAACACAAATTCAGCACAGCCCACCTGTTCACCAATCCTTAGAATGCAGAGAATTGGCCCCATCTTACCAAGTAATATATATATCGCCCATCTCTCTTCAGAACAGCCACTTCTCCAGATTTCTTTTCTAAGAAAAGTTATTTAATAGTAGAAAGGAAAAAGAAAATCAAAACACTGATCTCCATTCTTAGATGTAAAAATCTTTAGATCTGAGTTTACCTCAGAACTAGAATTTTGAACTCTGAAGAAATCTATTGTCTTATGAACACTTTGTCCATCAGCCTTCCTAAATACTATATTCCTTAACTTCTAATTTTCTTAATCATGTGTTTCTCATTCATGTTTTCTTCACACCTTATCTTTTGTCCTATCCTTATTTCCAAATATGCCCTTACTTATCCACCTAAAAATCTTTAATGTCTACTGCCTTGAAATGTTTTAGAATATATAGCATTATTTGCCAAATGTGTGTTCACTTAATATTGATCTTTTTACATACAAAGAGCTAATATTTAAGCATTATGGGGTACATAGGTGTATAAAACGTTGCCTAATTATGAGTTTTCAATCAAGAGAAGGTGCCATGTTTACAAATAACAACACAAAGCAGAAAGAAATTGCTTTTTTAAAGGCTGGGATCATAATCACCAGTGGAGACCCTGATTAAGCCTAGACTGTGGTCTGAGCAAATGTTTTAGAAGTTCTACATGATTCTAATACACATCCCTGGTTTGAAATCATTGGTAGGAAGTGATGGGAGAGGTCTGTAAAGAGGATTCTAAACTCCTAAATACAATATGAGTGAACAGTTTGTCAAATACCAAGTTAATACCTGCAGACTTGGCTAAGCAATTCAGAGTTAAGGATTTCAGAGAAGTGGAGTATTATCAAAGTCTTATGATAGAGGAGGAAGAGATTAGAATCTTTTACAAGAACTCAGATTTGGTGTGATAAGACCCAAACTAGAGGCCATTTCTGTAGAGGAAAAACTTAATCCAAGTTAAAAGTACTCAGTGGTTAGGGAACTCCTCTTTGCATATATTATCTTGTATAACAGGTGGTCAAAAGGTGCTCTAGCCAGGTCAGAAGAGTTGTTTCAAAACTCACGTTGATTTAACAGTTCCTGCACCCCTCCAAATTTCTTCTTGAAGAGTACAGCTATCCCAGCGCCCATTCGACAATCCTCACTGATACAGTGGGCTAGAGAGTCTGTTTTGGGGCATGCAAAAAGGTCTCCTTTCACATAAGTTATCTAAAATGTGCAAAGGGAAAGAAACTGTTTTATTAGTACAGAAAAATACTAACCTATTTCTTCCATTTTCCTTTACTGTGTCTTCCCCCCTTCCACCTTCCCTCTTTGGTTTAAAGCCAAAACCTCAGAACTTAAGGCGTTAACTAAAACGAATTACAAAATGTGAAAAAGTGATAGACGGTCTCTAAGTTATATTAGCTTTTCTTAAATCGGCTAGAGAAGAAAAAAATAGATAATTCAATTATTGATTTAATCAAAAAGTGTTTATGCTTTGGACCTCAATTATTCAGAATTTCAGTTCGCCAATAAGTTAATAGTTTTACGCACTCTGCTTCCTTCTGGATCTTCATTAGGGCTGCCGGCCATGATACTGAGTCGCTATCCCCAGAATTTAAATGTTTCTTCAGCTACGAGAAGGGAAAAGGAAGTAAAAATGCTTAGGCGGCCTGAGTATATTATATTCGCATCGCCCTGACCACCCACTGATTAATTTTCCTCTAGCGTTTATCGCTGAATGTAAGTTCGTTCGGCCTTTAGGAGATAATACAAAACTCATCTGGGACAAGAAAAAGGGAGAATGCATCGGTTCTTAGGCAGCCGTGCCGCGCTAGCCATTTCGCGCTCTCCTGCAGAGCCGCGCGCAACTAGAGAAGAAAAGGCGGCCCTAAACCATAGCTCCTCCTTTACCCCTGCCCGCGCCAGGCGGTTTTAAGACAATCTCCTTAAACTCAGTGGGTTTGGCCTAGAAGAAAAAAGGAGGGACTTGAGGATTAGGGAGCGTACGGACCAAGGGGAGTGTACTGCAGGCTGCGGGGAGAAGACGGAAGGCGGCCTATCAAGAAAGGGTCATTCCCTTCTTTTTGGGGGTAGAGGGAAGGAGTCTAGCGAGCCTCCCATTCTGTCTCCTACCCTAGGGCGAGTCACGGAGGATGTAGAGCCTGTCCTGGAGTCGCATTGGAAGGAGCGTGGAGGTTCGCTCAAAATCCCAACATAACCAGGTTACCCTTCACCTGAGTCAGCGGTTAGAAGGTCCCGCCCCGCGGGGAAGGGCTCCAAATCCGGCCCTGGTAGGTGGGGAGCAGCAGAAGAGCCCAGACGCGGAGCCAATCCCACCACAGCCCTTAATTGCACGCATCTAAGATGGCCGCCCACCACCTGGGAGCGACGCGGAAACGAGCCCCTCTAGCTAGCTAGCCGAACCTGCACTCTTTGGTGATGTCCGCCGAACTTCCGGCGGTAAATTCCGTGGAGTTTCCCGCCGCCACCCGGGCATGCGTAAGGCGACAGCGACCGCGAGCGAGGAACTGCGCTTGCGCATTAGCCCCAGGGGTGTGTCTCCAGTGGCCGCAGAGAAGAGGGTGGGAAGTTAGCAAAGTAGCTAGTTAGCGCCTGCGTGGTACTATGTCCAGGGCGGTGTTTGAGTCGCAGCGTCTGGTACGTCCAGAGGGCGCCTGCGTATTCCTTCGGTCGCGGGTAGTAGCTAATCAGGGAAGTGGGCGTGGCTTCAGGAGACGCCTGCGCAGTGCTCTTTCAACTGGGAATGGGGTGAGCCCAAAGGAGATTAGGGGGCGTGGTCTCAGAGGCGCCTGCGCGGAGGCGGTTGGAGGGAGGCCCGATTCCCCTTTGTTCGGGTTCGCCATTTTGCGAGGCAGCGGCAGTGGCGGCGGCAGCGGCGGCTGGAGCCTCTGATTGGGTTTCGGAGTCCGGTACTGGAGCCAATCAGCGCGGGCAGCGAACCGGGGGAGCGAGGCACGGTGAGTGTGAGGAGCCAATATCCAGCGGCCCAGAGCCGGCCCCAGCGCCCCGATTGGCGGGTCTCGCTGACCACTCAGGAGAGGCCCAGGCGTCTGTCGAGCCCCGGGAGTCGAGCTGAGCCTCGCCGAGCGGGGCGGCTGGCGGCCCCGGCCCGGAGTCTGCGAGCGCCGCGGGACACTCCCGGCAGAGGCCTGCAGGGGGCCGCCCCGCGCAGACATGGCGCCCCCGGGGGCCGGCACCTTGGGGTCCAGACCCTTGCACGGTGACAGTGCCAGTTGGGGATGCGTCCCGGTTCCCCAGACTCTTAGGCCCTAGGCTCGAGAGTGGCGGGCTTGTCCACCATGAATGCCCCTACACTCAGGTACACACGCGCCCGCCTTGGCAGTTTCCCCTCTTGGTCGTTCTGACCTCACACTTAAGTCTGCCCTTGCACCCTCCACGCTCCGGCCCTTGGGACGGGAAACCCCCCTCTCGCCACCCCCTCGCGGGCCCCGCGTCCCCAGTCCTCCGAGAGCTGGTTCGGTCTGTCTGCAGCCCTCCTGGGTCGGCAGGAAGGCCTAAGGAAGAAGCGTGCCGCGGCCACTGGGCCATGAGTGCGGCGTGGAGAGGGGGCCGCCCCGCTTGCCTCTAGCTCGGCGCTTTGCGGGGCCGCCCACGCCGTCTCTCTGGCTGGGGTAGGGGGGAGTCAATCAATGAGCCCACTCCAGCTGCCCCACTGCGCCCCTCCCAACACGCCTGGCCCGGGTCTCCGGCCCGGCTCCGTTACCACCCACTTTTGGCTCGTCATTTCCTCTCCTCTCCGCCCGCCAGGGCAGAACCGCACACCTCAGTCTTGGAGCTCAACCAAGCGGTCTCCCTTTCTTCCTTGGGCGCTAAGGCCAGTCCATTCGGTTCCGGGAACCTCACTCTTGGAAGATTGCTAGTCCTGAACATTCCTTTCCTGGATGCTGCACAACTTGCTTTTCATATTGTTGGTCTTATTCATTGCTCATTTCGTGAGCTCTCCCTCCCTTTTCTTCCACTTTTGTGTGTCACTTTGAACGTGTACCTCTTGATTTATTTATTTTTTTCTCATATACTTTCCATGTTAACATTTCTTCATCAGATGTGGGATTTTCGTTAGGGTGAGAAGAAATCTCCGTTGACAACCAAGTATGGAGGAGCAGTTAGTATGTACCAGGCATCAGTCTGTGTGCTCGAAGAGAGTGGGTAGAGGTAAATAAGAACCTTCCCTGCCTGGTGGTGATTGATATGTTAACAGCTAATTAATACCTACCTAACTGTTAGTCCTATAATGGGTCCAAGTTCAGTCCTGTGAAGTACCAGCAGCCTCGATGGAAGGCTTAACATAGCCACACTGATTGGCCTCGAAGGGTGATGGGATTTTTTTCCGACAAGAAAGAATAGAAGAGCATTGCTCACAGAAGAGATGAGCTCAGGCACCAAATTGTTCTGTGTGCCTGAGGAGGAAGATAGGATAGGGCATTGGGCAGTAGTGGTGAGAGTTTATTTAGGCTGGACAGCCCAGTTGGTAAAAAGCACTTGTACATCTTAATACAGAATATTTTCTCAGGTTGGAAAAACAAGTTTCTGACTTGTGGGATTCTATCCCGTAACAGTGGCTGGTTTCCTTGAGGGAAGAAAGGAAGTTTTTTCCCTAGGACTTTCACATTTTTTACTTATGTGAAGTACCTAGTGCAGCCCCTAGCACATAGAGAGTAGGCTTTGGTATATGGTGCCCATTTTTACAATCACGTTTACTAAGGTCATACAACTGGTGGTACGTTTCAGAAGACTCCTAGACCAGTGTTCTTTCTACTACTAAAACTTGGGAGACAGTTTTCATTTTCACTTTTTAGAATGAGTTTTTTTATTGTCATTTTTAAAAATTCATTTAATATTTATCCACATTAATAGATGTGGAAGTGTGTCTTAGTTTTTTTTAAAAAGCATTTATATATCTTTTATATATCTGATCACTTTAAAACCACCACTTTTGCTACACATTGTAAAGGTTATTTTTGTTGTGGTTGTTAAACACTTTTAGAGCCTCCACCTGTCTGCAAAAGAACTTTACCTGGAATTTTGAGAGTAGTGTGACCTCTGTCTAGTCACTTGACTAAAAAAAGGGACCTTTTAATCTGCTGTTCATATGCAGAAATTTGCCCTTCTTTTATGTTTGCTCTTCATTTGGAGTACTCCACCTCCCTCCCACATCATCACACATACATTATTCTTTCTTGTACTTAAGACCAGATCAGATGCCATGTTTTCCAGAAGCCTTCCTTGTTTTATCTATCTCCAGCTGGAAGAAATCTCTATCCTCCAGACTCCCGTATTACTGTGTTCCTCTTAGGGTTCCAGTGCAGATTTTTACTCCTTTGCAAAACTTAAAAACTCTTTAATATGTTACATGTGCAGTGACTTGTGATACGAAATGTGTTTCTTACTGTGCATGTGGTCAAAGAAGTTTGAAAGCTACTATTCTAGGCTTTTCCTGATAGCGATGGTCAAATATGGTAATTTTGAGGGGCTTTTCACATGCTTATAGTTGACTTTATGGAAGTTTTATCTTTGAAATGTGTATGGTTCCACGTAGAATGAGTTCCTAGTAGTTAGCTACATTTCAGGTTCTGCATCTTGAAGTGGGAGGAATAAAATTTTCATGCTAGCCAGAATAAACACACAGTCTCTGAGGGAAAAGCATTGGAAACTGAGTTAGAAGCAAGAGCTAGACAGACTAAATATGGCTGACTTAATGTCAGAATCTTGGGCAGAGAAGCACTTGAGGAAAGACAGTGTCAGATTTTACTGCAGTTCTGCTAACTGAAGCTCACAGTAGTAGGAACATATGGCTTTGCTGAAGCCAGTTGCATTACAGTACTCAACATTAACAATCTCAGTATGCTCCCAGCTGAATCACCTTCTACATTAATGTTAGAGAATTTCTGTTAGATTTGAAGCTGCTTCCTTTTTTACCCTTCAAAGTGTATTTAAATGCTTTTAAATTTAAACTAGTTAGGAGAATCTTCATGACATTTATTAGTAATTTCCATGCTCTTTGAGTAAGTTGTAAATTTCTGGAAATTAATCTAGGAAAGAATCTCATATAGTAAGAGGGTTTGGGTTTGGGGAAGTGTTGAAATAAAGAGGACATTCCTTCATAAACCTTATTTTTTAAATCAACTTTATTGAGATATAGACGGAAAGAGTAATCATTTTAAGTTTATATTTTGGTGAGTTTTTACAAATTTATACACCTATGCACCACAATGAATATATAAAACATTTTTATCACCCCAGAAAGTTCCAGGTGTTCTATCCTAATCAAACCCCCAATTTTACCTCCCCCACCTCCCACCACTTCTCCCATCCTAGGGAACTACTGTCCTGTTTTCTGTCTCTAGATTACTCTTGTCTTTTCAGGGTTTCATATAAATGAAATCACATACAGTTTTTTGTATCATAACCCTTAATTCTTTAATTTAATTAGTTTAGAAACGTGAGTGTATTGTGTGTACTGCATTTAGAGACAAAATAAAGAGTTTAGAGAAGACCAGTTACTTCCCTGGCAGAGCCACTTGGTCTGGCTGAAAACCTAACAAATTTTCTATACTGTTCCCAGTATCTCTTTGGAGATCACTCAGTCAACCAATTCAGAAGAAACTGGTGTAAAAATCAGAAAGGCAGTTTGTCAGTGTGCAATGAAAAATAACTATCAAGTTTACTTGTGTTGCTGATCCAAATGATGTTAGATATTTGCCTGATGAGCATTTCATTAGAACAAGGGTAGTGAGTTGGAGGACCGTATGACCAGATGACTATGATAGCATAGTCAACCTGTCACTTGTGGCTCTTATACTCTTAAACTACATACTATTTTGGTTATGAGTGATAAGCTTGATTAATTTTTGTTGGGTTTTTTTCTTCCAACATTTTAGTATAAAAATTTTCAAGCATGAAGTTGAAAGAATTTTACAATAAACATCTGTGTGCCCACCACCTAGAATCTACCATTAACATTTATCATATGTGCCTTATCAGATATCTCCATCTTTCCACTCATTAATCCAATAATCTATCTTATTTTTTATACATTTCAAAGTAAAGTTTACACATCAGTACACTTCCTCCTAAATATTTGAGCATATACTTGAATATATTTTGATTTCTTTCACACAATACTGAGATACCTCACAAGTGATTGATCTCATCTACCACATGTGGATTTATGGAAAGTGGTGCCTTGCTTTGCTGTTGTAATGTGCAGCTTAGCTCACGTAATTTTATCATTCGAATTTTAGAATTTAGGAAGATCTGGAGAAAAATTGAGGAAAAAGATTTAACTCTATTTTGTCTGTATATACCCATACCTCCCCAATATTTCCAAGGTGAATACCCTTAAATTTTTGATCAAGTCTTTTTTCAAGGTTCTCAGATATCATTTCTATTTACCTAATTGTGTCCTTATTTCAAAAAGGAAGGAGTCTTTAACTGTTAAAGTGTAGGAGAATGGTAAATTTGGACATTGGCTAAATAGTTAATGATGTTAAGGACTTACTAATTTTTTAATATTTGAAATGACGTGGAGACAATGTCATAAAAAAATAAAGACAAAAGAATCTTTACTGTTTAGAGCTGGATGCTGAAGGATTTATGGATTTGGAGAATAATATGGTGTCTGGGATTTGCCTCAAAATAATCCAGGGTTGGGTGGAAAGTGGATGGGATATGTGAAATAAGATTGACTGTGGGTTGAGAATCGTTGAAGTTGGGTGACAGCTAGGGGGGTTCATTTTAATGCTCTCGCTACTGTTATATATATTTGAAAATTGCCATATTAAGAAGTTAAAATTAAGGGTGTGTGGCATATTTTTAGGCATTCAAACTCAAGACTGGGGGAAACAAGTTCTTTTTAGAGAAAATCATGTCATTTAAAGTTTTTCCTTTATCTAACATATAATCATTTTGCCATTACTATAATTTTTTTTTATTTCTTGCTCTGGATTAAAATGCAAATTCCTAAATCATCTTCTAGGACTTTCTTACTTGGCACTACTTAATGGAGATTTTGATAAGTAAAATGTTTGACTTCAGGCTTTAGTAAATAACTTACTAAATAATAAGTTTTAAATTGCTTACTGTATGTGATGGATAAACGAGAGTTTTGTGGGCAACAAATGTTTGTTACAAGTTAAAGAAACTGTTTATTCTCTAAAGTATGTGTGCAGACCTGAAAATCAGTGTTAAATAAGCCTTGTAGTAAAGCGTTATTGTAGCTTATTATTTCAAAGGTATAAGTGTTGCTCTACAGGTTGTAGTATTGAAAAGTAAAGTTACCAATAAGAAATGGCTAAAACTGTTTACTAAAACATGAAATTACTTTATGATATTATTATGATTGTGCCATGTAATCTTAGTTAAAAATGATACCGAATATAAACATTTCTTGTTATCTTATCCTGATTTCATGCAAATAAAATAAAGTACAGCAATAAGTTATCAAGGTTAATTATCTGGCAAGGCCTTTATTGACAATCTTGTTTCTTTCCCAACATTTCTAATAAGAGTGCATCTTGCAGTCTTCTAGGATCTCCAGTGTGAAATTCACCGTGTACAGTATTCTAACTTGGAGGGACCATGGAGCAGTATACAGCAAACAGCAATAGTTCAACAGAGCAGATTGTTGTACAAGCTGGACAGATTCAGCAGCAGGTATGGAAGTAAAACTGCTCTGAACATCAAAGCAATGGATCTGATAACAGCACTACTCAACTGGGGAATTATTTGAGGTACCAGATCTTACATATAATGAGTCCGAAGACTGTGCTGAAGTACTTTTTGAAGATTGAATTTGTTGCACTTTTTCTCCTGTTTTCTGTGTCCAGTCCATGATCGCTTTTTATTGAGCCTGGTTTAATAGTAAATTGCCCCTTTTGTCTTATTAAAAGTTAAAACACCTAGTCTATTTTCAGATGGAAGTTTGGAGTTTTTGTTTTATTATGGATTCAATTTGGTTGTTTTTCTTCTTGATTAAGCTAGTTTGTGATCTAGTAAGGCTTTGGCCACAATACATAAACCAAGATAGTCAGCTTCCAAGGAATCCACTGTTCTTTGATTTGATCCACCACAGTGCTTATTCTGAAAAGTTCTAGTTTACCATGAGGATAATAGACAGCCACTCTTCTAGATAAGCACATATTAGAAAGGAATTCCTGGCTCTTGGTTTATTCGTAATTAAATTGGTGCTTTCTTGAATTTATACAGTTTATATTTTCTAATGCTTTATTCCTGGCTTTATTTTAGTGAAACTTCATTTTTCTCCCTAGAAGACATCTATTATGCAACAATTTCACCATAAGCCAAAATTGGGACTATTTTGTTTCCAAAATGGAACTTAGATAATATAGAAAAATGGTTAGTAGAGAGAGCAAGGGAAGTTTTGATGGTGAGTTGTCCTATCTAATGATCAAAGGAAGAAGCTACTCTTTATTAAGAGAATAATTATTTAAACTTCCTTGCCGGCTTTTCTTTCCATACAGCTGCTGTGGCTCTGGCAGCTTCCTCCTTCAGTTGCCTTAGTAAAGAGGATTCCACAAAGGGCCTTCCATCCACACCAGTGCCCTGGTGGGTGAATTCTTTTACTGTCAGACCTTGCCATTAGAGGAATAAAAATTAGCTTGAATCACTGAAAATATTGCTTCTAAGGTAGTCCAGTTGAGTAGAAGTAATCTTAGTTTTGGGACATCAGGGCAGTGACCTCATGAAAACGATTTTGGTTCACAATGATTGCCTTGTTCTTTTTTCTAGTGATTGCATTTAAGCCCCAGAAATGCTTCATTGTAGCTTCAAGGCTGTTAAAACCTTTGTTCTTATGAACTCATTTGAGGAAATAAAAAGAGCATTAAAATAACTTTGTAGGTAAAAGGACCAAATTCCTGTTTCTGAAGAGGACTGTGTTAAAAATTTTTTTGTTAATGATGACAACTGTTCTGATGTTTCTGAGTCACAGAAGTGTGTTTTGAGTTCCACCCTGGGGACAAAGGGCTAATTAATATCTTTAATCCTACTACTTTCAATAAAACAGCTTCAGTATAGGGAGTCTGTGCAATTTCACAGCCCTGTATAGGGTAGGGCTGTTGAAAGACGACTCACTCCCTCTCCTATAAGAGGTAAGGTATCTCATGTCTTGAACCATACATTTTCTTCCTGACACATTTCAAGCTCTTCCTGTTCCTGTTCTCAGCAGCAGGGTGGTGTCACTGCTGTCCAGTTGCAGACTGAGGCCCAGGTGGCATCCGCCTCAGGCCAGCAAGTCCAGACCCTCCAGGTAGTGGTGCCCTCTCTGATTCTCTGTAAGCACTGCATGAACTTCTCCTTTCCTCATGTCTGGTGCTGTTTGTGGTAGGTTCTCAAGGAGGAATGGCAAAATTAGTTGCATGTCTTTGATGCTAACTTGTCTTTAAGGCTTATAACATGCTGGTTTTCTAATGTTTCATGTCAAGTCATATAGTGACCCCAGTGTCAATTTTCTGAAAATTGTATTTGGCTAGTGTGTGTTTCTTTGGGAATGCCTTGGAAAGAAGAGGTATAAGTGACAAGAAGAATTTCTTATGAGTGACATTAGAACCTATTTAGAGCTCAAACTCTAATCAGATTGGATGGTAAAATTTCATGAATTTGTATGATAATAGTAGAGGAAATATGCATATTAGCTGGGCTGGATTGTGCTTTATTTTTTATTAAAAGGGCAGATCAGCTGCAAAATAATTATTGTATTTAGCAAGGTTTATCTAATGACTAAATTTTGTTAATCTCTTAACTGTTGCCTTTTTACTACCTTTCCTGGGGAAGTAGTGATCTGTCTTATTAGATATGCAAAGATTATACCATACCTCTTGGTTGGACATAAGTAGGATATGCTTTCTGTAGGTCTTAGGTGTTGTAGCCACTATAAGAATTCTTATTTAAGCAATGCGGTTCCATTATGTATAGCCAAGTTAAATATCCGAAGTATATAATTAGGAGTATAAGCTCCTAATTATAGTCTTTGTTGTATCTGTAGGTTTCTTTGACTAAAATGACCATATTTTTGAGAAACTGGCAAGATTTGGATACTCTACCTTTTTTCACCATTGAATGGAAATGATTCAAAGTAGGACTTGGAATGTAGAACTCACATCTCACTTTATTGCTAGTGCTGCTAAACATCCTACAGTTAACTACCCGTTATTGTAATCATTTTATTTTACCCTTTCAGCCCCACCCCCACATCTGCCACCTATAGTGTTTGATGGTGATATACAGCTAATTCTGAACCTAAATTAGGCTGAAAGAAGCTAAGCTTGTAGGTTATTCCAAACTATTGGAATCTCAGAGAGTTCAATAGCTTGTAATTTATGTTTTTCATGCTTCATATATTGATATGTAAAACAGTATTGTCATTAACCACTTGTGGAATGGGAATGTAACATGCTCTTAACTGTATGGCTTCTTGTCTGATGCATGTGTCCTTGTAATCATGTTGTAAATATAGAGGGCTCCTTGGAGTCTCATAGTTTATCATGTGCATTTTTAGCATGTTAATAGTGGAGATGTTAAGATGATGGCTAGCCAGAAAATTATTAATAGTTATGCCTTAAAATTTGTATTTTTTACCTGTGTAGATTTTATTTAAAATAAGTAGAAACACTTTATGGAAATAATGGAAACTGCTCCTTAGGGGTCTCATTATTTTGGAAAATTGTAAATAGTTCTTTCAGGTATTCGTGCAATAAGTATTCTGAAAAATCTTTCCTTATAGAGCATATGCAGACATTGGTATAGCAAAGGGAATTCTATTTAGGATTGGGAGCTAAGGGAAGGAGAAATCATGAGAATCAGATTGTAAAGTCCTTAAAAGTAAAGTGGAATTTCTCAGTGAACAGTCTAACAAAAGCTAGGGTTTTGAACATTCCTAAACATTCTGATAACATTTTGGTTGGAGGGTTGCTTAATATCTATCTAATCTCCTTTAGGAGTGATTGGTCCTTTAACTAATTTCTGTTATTTGAACCTACTTTCACTGACATTGAGTGAATTTTTAGTCATATGAATATTTTGTTCTGTTACAAATAATTCCTCGAAACAAAGATAGAATTTGATAATGAATGTTTTGGACTTCTAGCTCTTCTGTTGACTATTCCATTTCACTTTTAAAATGACTTGTTTTTTGGCTTCTATAAGGCATTCTATTAGCTAGGTTTATTGGGACTTGATATGTTACAGAGCACCTACAATGTCCAATGTCCTGGCTCTTAGAGTATTCCATTTATTCATGGGAGCTTGAAAGTTGGGAGTTTTTTAGTATATGCGAGTGCTCTTTATAATTTCCATATTCGTCAACGCTTCTTTTAAATTTAAAATAACTGCTTCCAGTGCGAGGAATTTCACCACAGATGCTGTAAACTGACCAGAAAATATTTCTAGGCAGTTTTTACTAGTGGGCTCTTTAAACAACCAAACTAGAATTCTCAGAGTAAGGTGAAGAGGGTAAAAGATGTACATTTCATTTATGCTTGAGCAGCTATGGGGAGAAGGAACTTCCACATAAGATTCCAGAGCTGCTTGCTACCCAGCCTCATGGAGTCATTGCTGAGTATAGTTCGATTTACTCCCTCCAGGTTATTTAGAACTTGAACTCACCATCATCAACACTATCAGCTACCCCTCTCATTGTCTTATCTTCAGCCCTTACTAGATACCATTCTTGAATATTAGTCTCTTGAATATTAGTCTTGACATTTTGATCAAATGCTTCTCGTGGATTTAGCCTGTATTTGGTGACAAATATCTTACGTCTCTTGAGACTTCCCAAAGTCTGGATATACTCCATTATGTCTGACTTTAAAGGAGTAAGGTTGGCCTTTAGTCACAGATACCATAGATGTTTGAAGAAGACAGAACCTGAGGATAAGTACTTGAGACTTATTTTCTTAGAGTCTCTCCTAACTCTTCCCCCTCTAGCAAGGCAGAGAAATAGTTCCAGTGATTGTCTTTTAGTAAAACCATTTTGTATCTTAATGTTATTTCATTGTTCTCATTTTCCTTCGTTCTAGGTCCAGGGGCAGCCATTAATGGTACAGGTCAGTGGAGGCCAGTTAATCACATCAACAGGCCAACCCATCATGGTGCAGGCTGTCCCTGGTGGACAAGGTCAAACCATCATGCAAGTACCTGTATCTGGGACACAGGGTTTGCAGCAGGTGAGTGGTATGAAAAAAGCGTTTCGACAATATCAGTATAGAAGTTTTTAAAGAATAGTTATTACAAACTGTTTAACAGTTGATATTGCATTTAATTGCTTCCTATTCTCTATTCGCATTTAGTTGCTATTCCACCTTTGTAGTACCAGTGATAAAGCAGAACTGTACAGAAAGTGTACTTCTCTGGTAAGAACTAATTAGGCATGATTTTTAATCATTGTAAAGAATACCAAGAGTTGAGAATCTGGTTTAATAAAAGTAATTCTCAGTGTGACCTTTGTTGGCACTTCTGCTCACTGAGGGAGGGAATTCTGCTTTGGATATTGTTGGTTTTGGTCAGAAATATTATCCTTTTTCATTTCTTTCTATTTTGTGTGTGTGTGTGTGTGTGTGCGTGCGTGTGTGTGTTTAGGGAATTGCAAGGGTTTTAGGAGCTCTGTGCCAGGAACTGGGGGCAGAGACCAATAAATATATATAGTTTCTATTATCTCATAGTCACATTAATAGAATGAAGAAGGCAAAACCACACATGATCATCGCAATTAATGCAGAAAAAGCATTTGACAGAGTCCAGAAGTCTTGCATGACAAAAATACTAAAAAAAAAAAAAATAATAAAACAAAAAAAAAAGGAGAAGGGAACTTTTTAAAAAAAATTTGTAATGGTTATTTATTGAAATGGTTAATATTTGACAATAAACTTACACAATATCACAAACTAGTTTTTCCTTTTTATTTGCCATGGGAAATTTTCTTTTCTTTCTTCTTCTTCTTCTTTTTTTTTTTTTTGCCCATTTTATTTTTTCCCTTTTCCCCTCCTTTCTTGTAACCACTAGTCCATTGTCCATATCCATGAGTCTCTGTTTGTCCTGTTCACTTGTTGCTTTTAGGCGTATATACATATAAGTGATAACACGTGATTTTCAACCTTTTCTGTCTGACTTATTTCACTTAGTATGATTATTTCAAGGTCCATCCATGTTGTTGCAAATGGCAAGTTTTCATCTCTTATGACTGAGTAATATTCCATTGTATATGTGTACCACAGCTTCTTTAGCCAGTCATCTATCGTAGGACAGTTCGATTGCTTCCATGTCCTGGCCACTGTGAATAATGTTGCTATGAACATTGGTGTACAAATATCTTTTCGGATATGAGTTTTCAAGTCTTTGGTTGAGGTAAATACCCAGTAGAGGGATAGCTGGATCATATGGTAGATCAGTTCTTAGTTTTTTGTGGAAAAACCTCCATACTGTTTTCCAAAGTGGCTATACCAGTTTGCAGTCTCCACATCCTCACCAACATTTCCATTTAATTTATAATTTGAGTTATCTAGCAAGTGATGAAAAAAGAAAACCTTTAGTCCATACCCACTGCACACACCTAACATCGTATTTAGAGCAAAATTTATAACCTTAAATACTTTATTTCTTTAAAAATTGAAAATAAATGAATAGTATATATCTTAAGTGAGGAAAAGAACAAAATGATCAAAAAGTAGGTTAAAATTAATGAAGTAGAAAACTAACAAAAATGTAGAAAGGGTAAATAATAGCTGATTCTTTAAACAGATCAATAAGAAATTATATAAATCCACTGGAAAGACTGATTCAGAAGCAGAAAATAAAGGTAAACAAGACAAAGATGAAGAGATTAAAAGAAGGATGTAGGAATGTTATATACAACTCTGGCATCAAATTTTAAAATTAGGAATTTTTTATCAATTTGGCAAAAATTAAAAAGAATAATTATACCCAGTTCTACAGTGAGTGTGGAGAAGAGGAAACAGTCATTATTTTTGGTAATTTTAAATTCTAAAGTCATTATGGAAAGGCATCTCACTATTAAATATATAAACCTTTGATTTACCTGTCCCATCTCTGAAAATCTATCCTATTGGAAGAAAAGCATAGATATATAGGAAGAAATATACAAAAACATTTATTGCAGCATTGTATCAGCAAAAAAAACAAAACATTATTTTCGTATCCTGAATGTCCATTAATAAGAGTAAGGAAATGGTTGTTTAAGATATATCATATTCATACATGGAATGTTATGTCGTTAAAAGGGGTGACATGGGAAAAAATAATCTGCAGAGAAATATAAACTGATCTCATCTTTGTAAGTAATAGCCAAAATCCTATAGGTGTACGTGTTTGTTAGCATGGAAATGAGGACGAGGAAGAATTATTGACTTTTTACTATATGTATATATTTTGTTTTAACAGAATGATCACATTAATGTTTTCGTTTTTCTGGAGGAATTACATATTAGTTGGTGGGGGGGAAACAGCCATGATCACATTATTTGATAAATCAAACTTTTAATTTTTGCGTTTTCCCTGTGGTTGTTATACATACTTTTTGGGCACCACTGTACCATGCATGTAGTTTTGTTTTTATTTTGCTTTTCTTTTTGTAAAATTATTTCCACATGATTTTCTTATTTTTTAATTCCTTTGTAATGGTCAATCAGTTTGATGAATCAGAATTTACAGTTTGCAAACTGTATTTAGTTTTCTTTTTGTCTTTTTTTTTGCTTTTATAGTAAGGTTACTATAAATGTATTTGAGCATGATAGTTTTATTTTTCAGTTGAATTCATTTTTAGAGTAATTTGTTTGGAGTGGAGGGATTGTTTTGTTAAGGGGTAGGAGCATTGTATATATTTAAAAGCTGTTGGCACATTTTTGCCATGATAGAGTTGTAGTTAGAATTAAAAATAGTTTCCACATTTCTCCATGCATAAATGTATGAAGCTATAAATATGTTCCAGTATGTGTACTTTACTCTATTTCACACTGCTGTTTTATTTCTGTCCTTCCTCATTGCCTCCTCTCCAACCCTCCTTGCCACACCTTCCTCTCCACTCTTAAATGGACAGTGTGATATAGTGCTAAAAACAGTATACTGGAAGTGTAGTGACCTGACTTTGATTCTCAGGTCTGCCATTAAAAGCTTTCTAATCTTGGCCAAGTCATTTGCTTGTCAGTTTTCTCATTCAAAAGTGCAGTTTATATCAGATGATTTCTAGGGTTCATTACAGCTCTAAATTATGTGATTTTATGGTTGTGTGTGTGTGTGTGTGTGTGTGTGTGTGTGTATGTATGTATGTATGTATGTATGTATGTATGTATGTGTATATGGAGCCTTTAAGAGTTTAGGCAGGGTTGTTTATTCTCATTCCTCCAAGCAAGACCATAACTAATCAAACCATCCTGGAAAAATTATTTTCTGTTAATGTATATAAGGCTCTAGGTCAGATTCCATAGCCTTTCTCAGAATGCTTAAGGTTTCAGTTCTTTTTTATAAGAGGTCACTTCTCATCAGTGTTTTCTGAACAACCATTTCTTTTAGAAGAGTACTTAACATTTTTTAGATTGCATCCTCTATTTTAGCATTCCAGGGAAACCTTTGCCCCCTTCTTAGAAAAGATGCAGTTGTCCAAATATATGCAAAATTTTACATATAGTTTTAGGTTAAGATCCCATGGACCTGGAGTAGAGACCCAAGAAATAGATTCAAGAAACATATTACCTTATTTTTGGATAATATGTTCCAAGACCTCCATTGGATGCCAAAAACCACGGATAGTAGATTAATAAATTATATTATAATTACTTAATGTACTTTACACCAAATAAATTAATGAACTAATTCTATTTCAGCTGGCTATATCTTTGAAACAATACTGACTGTAAAAAGATAAAATACGGTGCTGTTTATATGAAATTTTTGAATATAAAGCAGTATTATGTATTTTTATGGATATACATGTATAAAATATGTTCTGTAAGGGGTGTCACCAGTTTTACTATAGTGATTACCTTTTAGTTGGGAAGGGAATGTTAAATGACAAATACGGCAAATGTTAACTTGTTAAATATGAATGGTGACTACAGGAGTATCTGATATGATAGTCTCTACTTTTCTGTGTGTTTAAGGCTTTCTTGTATACATATTTATATAATCCCAGCTTAGAGTTGGAAATTAGAAATAACTTAATTTTTTTCAACATTTTATTATAGAAAACTTTAAACATAGACAAAAAAGAGTGGTGTGATGAATCACCATAGCTATCAACAGTAATCAACACATAATCAGTTTTCTTTCTAGTTTCATTTGTATTCTGCTACTCTCTCAAAAATTATTTCTAATATATAAAATATCATTTTATCTGTAAAAAATACTTCAGAATGTACTTTTAAATGAACAAGCTTTAAAAATAACTGACATTGATTACTTAATATCATCCAGTATCCAGACAGTGATCTGAATTCCTCTTTTTGTTTCATAAGTGGAAAACAAGTTATCTCTCATATAATAGAAAGCAGAACAAGACTTCTGTCTTTTTTTCCTCTTCGTAGCATTTTCTGCTTTCAAGAGGAATTTGGGCGACTAACACTCCAGGACTGAAAGAAACCAGTGTCAGTGGGGTACTAACCTTTCTTCATGTTCTCTTTCACAGATTCAGTTGGTCCCACCTGGACAGATCCAGATCCAGGGTGGGCAGGCTGTGCAGGTGCAGGGCCAGCAGGGCCAGACCCAGCAGATCATCATCCAGCAGCCCCAGACAGCTGTCACTGCTGGCCAGACCCAGGTAATTGCACGAGCTCTGTGAACACAGGAGCACAGCTGATTTGGAAGGGTCAGATAGCTGTGCCAAATATTTCACATATAGTAGAAATGGAGAAAACCATCAG